AGAACCCTGCTTGAATGTTCCTGTTATCTTAGGAATAAAGCTGAGTTCCAGCCTTCCCTTCACCCCTCCATCTTGCACCATTGTACAGGCTCCTCTCTTGTACTGACATACTTACTAAGCTTTACCTCTGTGCAGGAGCTTCCTGTAATAAAGACCACTCACTGCCGCTCTCTCTCCTTGTGCAGGGTGACTGGTCTTGTCTCCGCCCCCTCCTGTAATAAAGACCGCTCACTGCTGCTCTCTCTCCTTGTGCAGTGTGACTGGTCTTGTCTCCGCCCCCTCCTGTAATAAAGACCGGTCACGGCTGCTCTCTCTCCTTGTGCAGGCTGACTGGTCTTTTCTCCGCCCCCTCTTGTAATAAAGACCAGTCACTTTTGCTCTCCCCTTGTGCAGGGTGACTGGTCTTGTCCTCTAGTGGGTGGAGCCTGCTGGGCCTCTCCCACAGCTCTGCTCTCAGCACCGTGATGTCACTTCTACTTTTTACAAGGTGATATCTCGGTTTGCAAAGGCATTGGAGGCGCTCGCGGGGGATTTATATCCTTTGTGGCTGTTTAGGAATATAGTGAGAGCCTTTCTGCAGGAGTTCAGCTTTAATCGTTCAATGTTCAGGAGATTCACATCCTCCGGCTCTCCTCTACACATATTACCATCGGTTTTGCTGGATTTAAATACATTTTGGTGCTTTTTTTTTTTTTTTCTTTTACTACAGTTATCTCAGAATCCACAATGGAGATGGAAACGAGGCAAGAGCAGGAGAGTGCCCAGCCGTCAGAAACCGATCTTCCCTCCACAAGCCAAGACCCACCGACCTCTTCCTCTTCTGCAGGTATATATGCGGCAGATAAAACGCTGATCTAGTCTTGCACAGTCGTAGCGGCTCCTCTGATATCGCTGCACACCCGGAGCTCCTCACAATGTGCATTAGAAGCTGCAGCAAGTAAGATAGAGCTCCGCCCCTCCATTTCCTGGCTGGAGCATGCCCACAATCATTTGGCCCTTTCCTCCCCAACTTGAATGTCCCTGGCCTGTCCCTTGGATTCTTTGGACTCCAGTTGTTTCTATCATAGAGGCTGAGGGTCACATGTGGGTGTTACCTGGGCCGTTCCGCATGCAAGTACAACCTGCTTGGGAATACCGGCTCCTTCAGATCAGCATTTTGATATTTGTTTAAAGGAGAACTATGGGGTCAGTGTTTTTCCCCATAGTTCTCCTTAGGGTAACGGGAGGACACAAACTAGCGTCCTCCCGTCACCCTAGGCTCAGTATATAGGGAGCTACAGCTCGCGGTATACTGAGACGCCGGAGCGGATCCCGACATCGATGTCGTGGATCCGCACCGCTGCGTGAGTGACAGCTGGCTCTGCCTATCTAGAGGCAGAGCCAGCTGTACGCGCCCCCTCCCCCGTCCGTTCCGCCAGTCGGAGGGGGGAATCCAGCCCCTCCCCTGTCACGGCAGAGAGCCGTGACAGGATCGAGAAGTGAGCGAGCGCCGGTATGTGTTCGCTCACCTCCCGATCTACTGAGCCGACCTGTGACAGTCTCATTGTCACAGGTCGGCTAGAACTATGAGGGTGAGTGAAAAGCACCCCCCTCCCCCTCATAGTTCTCCTTTAACTCTTCCTAAGAGCCCGCGCACTGCTTGCACCTGAACTGAGGGCCCTTGAGTACTGAGGCAGGGTGCTGTGATGTTTTCAGGAAGCAATGCACGGCCCCTCCCACCAGCCATGATCTGCCTGCATTGCACTGAGAAGCACAGAGACCCGGCGATGACATAATTGGATCTGAAATTATCTATGTCATGAAAACAGGTTTTATTTCCACATTTCCTCGGCTTGCTGAGGGAGACGAGAGGAAGCGGTGAAGACGGAATGGACGCAGGTTACACTTCAGCTTTCGTTGTCTGTTCCTAACATGATATTTCTGTGTAAATAGACACGAGCACCAGTCAGCCGAAGCAAGTGAGACGAGTGAGACTTCATCCTCCGAGCGGAAGGCCTGCCGTCAGAGGACGTCAATTCGGCAGACAGGGAGGTGGGTTCAATCAGTTACAGTGTGTCCGTAAAAAATCCCAGCAAGGTTTTGCCTTTGTGATTTTTTTTTTTTGCAGTCTGCTTTTGGGGAAAATGTTGTTCACTTCCTGTCTTCAGACGCCAACAGGAAGTGAGAAGGGAACGCTTCAAAATGAGTGAAATCTAATAGGAAATCTTCCAATGGGGACAACCTGTCCCAGTGACTTCTAACGATGTTAAGGGCCGGTTCACACCGCGAACAGTGCGTTCCAGAGTGGTCAGCCTCTGGAACGCATTGTATCGCAATCCGGCCGGCTCTCCTGTGTTCAGGGGTCGCGGCAGTGCATGGAAGTCAATGGCACCGCAGCCACGCCCCCTTCCCACGGTGCGATCACCCGCACCGGAATGCCTGGCACAGTGTCTTGTGTTCCGGTCCAGTGCGATCTGCAAAAATGCTGCAAGCGTTCAACTGGAACGTAAGAACTGATGTGCCGCGGGTGGGGGATGTGGCTGCAGTGCCTTTGACGCCAAACCGCCACGCCCCCTCCCGCCCCTGAACACAGGGAGGCAGCTGGGTTGCGATGCACTGCGTTCCAGAGGCTAGCTGCCCTGGAACCAGTGGCGTAACAATCACCATAGCAACCCAGGCGGCCGCTATGGAGCCATTTCTGCCATCAGGACAGATCGGGAATCCCCACCCCCACCCCCCCACACAGCGGGTACTCGGATGGCAATAAAACCTGACCCGGGGCTCTAAGCCTTCCCATTAGACAGAAGGTTTGAATGTGGATACTTGTTGACAGAATGAGCAAAGTGCAGCAGTTCATAGCGGGAAGTATATAGCGGGCTACTGCATGCGATATACTGAGACCGCCGCAGCCGGGACGGAGCCCGACAATACAGTCTGGATCCACCCAGCTGCGTGGGAGGCGGAGCCCGCTGTTAATCTATAGTAAGAGCCCGCTGTTCCCTCCTGCTCCCTGGTCTGTTCTTCCAGTCAGTGGAGGATCGAAGAGGGGAGGGCATGGGAGTCCCTGCAGGGAGCTGTGAGTGACTGGGAAGTGAGCAGAAACATGCACCCAATACCTATCACTAGAGCCGACCTGTGACAAGGAAGATAACTATGAGTGGAAATCTCACCATTAAAAGGAGATCTATGAGGTGTGGACGGCGGGATCCCCTCAGACATATAATGATGTTGTGTCAGGAAAGAGGATTCGTTATAAACGCATTGTTGGGAACAAAGAAAAGAATCAAATGAAGGTTCTCGTACACTCGGCTCGCAGTATTCATATCCAGTTATTGGCTCTGAAATGTCGTTATTGATGTGTGAAGATGCCGAGATTCGGATTTCCTTACTATAGACAATCAGTGATCGGCGTCTGTACTTCTCATGTCGGTGATCGGCGTCTGTACTTCTCATGTCGGTGATCGGCGTCTGTACTTCTCATGTCGGTGATCGGCGTCTAGAATCAGACGAAGCCACTTTTGAGCTCTGTGGTGTCTCCGGTACTTGTGAATATTTGAAGCTTTTCTGATTTTTAAGCATTTCTATCATTTAAAGTTTTCGTTTTTGTAAAAGTGAAATTAAAGATTTATTAGAAAAAAAACTCACCCGGCCTGACTGCTCATTTCATGAACGTCATTCGCCATATTGTGCTCAAAGCAAAACCTTCT